CGAGCTGGATGAGCAGGCAGCCATAGCCAAGCTGCGCTGCACTATGCTGGATGGAGCGCATGGTGGTCCTTGAGTGCATGTGGCATCTGTGAGTGGGGGATCGAGGTTGTGACTGATACGAGAGACATACCTGGTGCTTGAGGCGAACGGCATTGGCCTAGATCTGCTGGTACTACGGGGAGCTCATGCGCTCATGGGCGAGCTGGATGAGCAGGCAGCCATAGCCGAGCTGCGCTGCACTATGCTGGATGGGGCGCATGGTGTTCCTTCTGTGAGTGGGGGATCGAGGTTGTGAGTGATACGAGAGACATACCTGGTGCTTGAGGCGAACGGCATTGGCCGAGATCTGCTCGTACTACGGGGAGCTGTTGACATCACCAGCGGCATTGTAGATGATCTGCCATTTGTAGTCTGGGCGCAGAGCGCCAGATAGGATGTCGACATTGGTTCATTGTTGATGATGATGAGACTATTGCAACATTGTTACTTGTGAGCTTTTGCTGTGCTCCTATTTGGTGGAAATCGTGTTGCAATTCTGCGTTTGGTTCGAGGTCACGACTATCTGGTTGCATGTGTATGATGCTGCTTGGTTTCTGGGATTCCCTATCGCTCATTTTCCTTGCACTTGTGGTGATGTGGCGGAAAACCCCGACTTTGGGCCTTCCATTAACCATCTCTAGTATCCCACGATGGTAAACGGAGATCAATGGCGAGAAATCACAAGTGTTGATCGACACGAAAATAACAGAATCAGAAGATCTATTAGGAAAGAAACCAGCAAATGTAAAAAGAAAGAGCGCTTCCTTCTCTTTCCTTCAACTCTTTACATTGCTTTGTTGCTCCCTTCCCGGCCCGGTCCTTCTGGCCGCACCTTCTCCCTCCCAGTCCTCCCTCCATGTCTTGCTTTCTAACTCGTTCCATCCCTCCACTCCTCTGATAATCACTAGCATTATCACGTCCTTCATTTCCCCTCTCCTCTCCTCTCTCTTCAATCACCCCTCTTGCTTCCACTCCACCCCTTCCTTCCTCCTCTCTACTTTCCCTCTTGGCAAGATAATGGACCATACCTCTTTTGTCGTGATCAGTTTGCTGACTGCCGATGCAATCTTCTTCAACATGTCCTGCTGCTCCTCTGTTGAAAGAGCATGCAACCACTGCGCACAGCGCATCAAAACAGAAAAAGTTCAACCGAGGTTAAGCTTACTGTTGTCCATGGTTAAAATTGCACTATTCCATAGCTGACAGCCAGTGTGAACCACAGGGAAAAGCCTTCAAAATATCCAGTACATCGTCACTCGCTAGGAGGAGGTGCTCTTATCACCCCTCCAAGCGGGGAGACCTGGTTTAATTAAAAAAAAAAGAAAAGATCTTCACGTACGCCACAGTTGACAACCATCTTGCACCACAGAGAAAGGCCTAGGAGTTTCCACTCCAGTTCCTTACAGGGTCCAGTTTTTGGATTGCTGTCATCAGTCAATTGCAATTTGGATAGACGATGTAGACTCGTGTCATGACATTTACCCTTCATCGTCAAGCTTCATGTCTGTTTCTGCTGGGTGTAGACTCTTTAGAGGGACTTGATTTCCAAAAGAACTGTCCAGGGGCCTTCTCCCATGTCATGATTTAGGGAGCGCTGAAGGGTGGCAAGAGGGGTGGGCAGAGGCATGGAACCTTATTCACACGGATACACAGATAAACAAATTGGCAGTTAGATACATGCGGTTGGATAAATAAGAAACAAGTCATGTGCGCAAAGCAGAACAGCTGATGTAGCCACCCATGTCTCAAGCTATGGATCAGAATGGAGGTCTGGTTTGGCTGCTGAACTGCTCATTTGCAACAAACTGCAGTCTCGGCACACCAGCATGGCACCGTCAGTTGGGCAGGGTTCGTACAAGCCGAGTCAGCATAGTGTCCAGTTCGGTCACAGATAAGTCAGTTTATCATAAGGGTCCAGCAGTCCAGAGTCGAGCCCATCCAGTACCAGGCCAAGTCAGTGGCCCAGGGTTTCAAGCAGGCCAGCGAATATTTCAAAAATACTGATATTGACAGTATAATTAGAGATTATGAGACTTTTTTTTCGAGATTCTTTAAAGGCCAAAAGACCTGCACGGACAGAGTATTGGGCCAACTAAGGCTGCAAGTCCAAAGGCTAAAAGCTGAATCGCCACATCCAAAAGGACAGCAGCCATCACCGAAGAGAACAAATTCAGCTTGTGCTTCCACAGGAAGCACTGCTGCACTCTAGAGCGACAGGTGACAATGGAGAGAGAGAGAGAGAGAGAGAGAGAGAGAGAGAGAGAGAGAGAGAGAGAGAGAGAGAGAGAGAGAGAGAGACAGAGAGAGAGGGTCAAGGGTTGAGAGAGGTCACCCTTTCACTGTTCATGCTTGCGACCATAGCCCAGGCAGCTCAACACAGAATTGTTTGCAGTTGGGGGAGACGGAGGCTGAGAGTTGCTCACAGAAGAGTGTGCTTGGGAGAATTGACTTCAAGATAACTTGAGTACTCATCTTGTGGCTTTGGCTTTGGCTTTCATCTTTTCGTGTGCAGTGTGTGGGAGTGTGCAACTCGGTACGGACTTGTGACCTTGGTTTGATGCATGAAGTTTGGGCTCCTTACACATTCGATCCTGGGCTCAAAATTCAAACCAGTAATTTCCAGGGCTGGTCCCCGGTTGAACCAGGGGCCCCTCCCCCAACCGGGAGCCTGCGGGTCGGACCGGCCGGTCGACCGGGCCGGCAGACTCCCGCTTGAGTCCAGCGCATTGCACTTGGGGTAGCAAGTCACGGGCATCCCCGCGATTGTCCAGCCCCAAGGAGGTTAAAAAAAAAAATCGGGGTATCCTGGACCTCGTTTCTTAAGAAAAACAGGCAAAGGATATCCACCGCTGATCTTTGCAGATCAAGAACGGAGAACCGCCACACATTTTTCTTAAGATGTGTGTGGGTCGGGTAGGCCCCTTCTCCAATTTGTCCTCTTGTGGCCCAAAGCACCAGATACCGTTGGTAGCATCATGATGCTCGTTCACCCTCAGCAACGAGGTGAACACTATGCTCGTGATGAGGCTTCGCTGAGATTATATCCTCGTGCGACATCCTTGCCATCTGTGGAAAAAGTTACGGGTTCGGATTTCAGAATCGTGATGTCAGAGCCGTCCGAGCTGCAACCCCAATAATGGACCTAAGCTATATTCTTCTCTCTATCTATCTGGAATGGACCTTGCTCCACTACATGTATCTGGACAGACTGCCAGGCAAGACACTTCCATACTGATAACTCACCTTATGTAGAAAAGAACAAACAGAAAACGCTCTGCCCCCACGAGCTGAAAGCTGGACCCATAACTCTTCTGCTGTCGAGCTACCCTCTGGAAGAGCTATAAGTTCTGGCAAGGACCTCCTTTCATCATATGTGGTTCAGCTCGTGGGGTATCATTATCACTTGACCTACTCCACGAAATGCTCCAGCCACGGGGGGGTCAGAGAAGTGAACTTGCTTACTCGACCCCTCCCCGTGGAAGCCATAGTTGCCTGAATATGTCAATAATAACCCCCTGCCCCCCTCTGGAAGCCCCCTGAAAAATATTGTACCGTCAAAATTGTATTGTGGATTCCGACAGCTCTCGAAGAGCGCAGTCAGAATCTGCCAAAAAAAAAAAAGATGATTGGGCACTTTGTTCTAAAAACCGGCTTCCCGGTTCAACCCCCCTGGGCTGGTCCGGCTCCGGTTGGACTGGGGTAACTCAACCGGTCTGTTGCCGGCCCAGCACTTCACTAATTTCCCAATTCCCAGTGCTTTGCTGCTGAGACTCCTGGCATTTGCTACCCAATCATCCGCCTCTACTAGCACATTGTTGGCCCCCTGGACATGGGTAACATTACAGACAAGCATATCAAAGGGAAGAGAGAGGTATCATGACAAACCAGCTCGTCCAATATCGCTTATTGTCGCACATCTGCACTACATCTTGGATGAGGAGTACAGTCCCCCTCAGCTCCATTGTGCAGCTCGTTTTCTCAGATGAGCTTCTAGAAAAGTTTGTTAAGGTTAAATCAGCACCTACCTCAGACCGGGACAGTGCTAACTGCTGTAGCATACTCTGGGCAGCATAAATTGCCTCCTTGTCTTCTCTTCGTACAACCCCAACAGACTTCGGCAGAAGCAAGGCGATTCTGAATAAGACTTCAATTATCTGTAAATCCAATTACCGATTCATTCAACCCCCCCCCACCAACCACACACACACGCACACACGCACACACACACACGCGCGCGCACACACACACACACACACACACACACACACACACACACACACACACACACACACACACACACACAATCATACTTATCTAGATAAGTAATATGTTTTCAACTTTTCTATTCTTTTCTTTTCTTTTCTTTTCTTCTTCTCATTCGTAGTATTTCCTTCTGTTATCCAGTTCGTGTGTTCTCTGCTTTTTTTCCTGTGCTTCTGTTCTGTCAAGCAAGCACCCCTAAGATATGCAACATAGTCAGTGCCTCTTCGTTTGGAGTGCTCGCAACAGTATTAGAGCGGAATGTGTGTCCGGGTTGCCTGTATGCCTTTGTGTTCCCTGAGTGATGACATACCTTCGTAGAGGTGACTCCCTGGTGCAGATGGTGGCGTGATGATTTGAACCTGCAGTCCGCGGAGTTAGAGCGTGCACTTCTGTTATGATTCTGGTTGTCCATTGTCTGAAGACCAACACTCACTCACATAGACTTCCAGGTATGCCCATACATACACAGAAGGAAGGGGAGAGGATAGAAGTATCACACCGCACAGGGAGAGATAAACACAGCGGAAGACTTGACCATGCGATATGACATGGTACACTGAAAGTGCAATTCACTCCACTCAATCCTCACAACCAGTCGTAAAGAAAAGCCGAGTAGATCACATCCAGGAAACAATGAAACGATTATAGTCCAAACCCAGTATTACTCTGTTTATTAAACTGAGTCTCGAATTGTCAGGATAACCTCAGAACGACAGTGCGCTGCTCAGAAGTGAGCAGCGCTTCACTCCCCAACCCTGAGTAACTACTCACGACACCCCTGAGCCCCTGAAACATCAAGCGCCACCCACGTACTGCCTCCAGAGGGCAGCGCCACCCTGAACCAGGCCTCTGAGGCCAAGCGCCACTCAGAGGGTGAAGAAGAAGACCAGCGCCACAGTATCTGATGATGACGAAGTGTCGAAAGACTTCCCGGGTGGAAGTCTGCAGCAGCTCCACCAAATCCTGACAAGATGACCTCTGAGGAAGAAGCTGCAGCTATGGCTGCAGCGCCACAACCCTGTGACCCCACTCCAGAGGAGGGTCCAGCAGGGCACCAACTTGTCTCGCCTCCAGCAGACCTCGATAACCCAGACCTCTGTACAGCCCCACGTGCTGACAGAGTACAGCGCAGGTCCCAGCTATGGCCCGCGCTCCGAAGGTCTGGCTATGTCTGTCTCCCACAACGCTGAGCCGTCACCACTTCCGGTTCACGCGTAGCGCAGCAGCGATGTACTCGGCCCTGAACCGATGTCCCAAACGATCTATAGTTCTACACTAGCCTAGACTCGACCTCGACCGGACTGACTGACCGACCGGTACCGTTTCTGTTTCGGCCTCTAGGGCCCCTCCCTACCTGGCTATAGGCTATAGAACCGTCTATCAGCTTAGGCCCTTAGGGCCTGTCTGTCCTAGCGGTAGCCCGGGCCTGCTATTCGCAGCTAGGGAAGCAGTAGGAAATTCAATTAGTACTGGGCCTGTATTTTCCCGAAGTTGCAGATACGTCCCTCACGAATTTCCCCTACAGGTAGGTCTCTCGGTTAGCCCTCAGCCAAACAAAATTACGAATCTGTACAGCCTCGACAGAGAGAGGCTACAGGTGACCAGAAACAGCAAGTCATTGCACTTCACTGGTCAAAATGAGATGAACAACCACGAAAAAAACTAGAATTCCTACAGCAGAAAGATAAGAGCCAAAACTACTCAGTGCATTCCATCCGTCATAAGTGTCTGGGTAAACCCGGAATGTGGCGTGGCATGCCTGCAAGACCTAAGAAATGCATAGAAAAGAAGTCGAATTCACCTACATGGCCAATAGAACTATGAGCTAAAAGACTTTGTTTTCACAACTTTTCAGTCATTGCGGTCAATGCTCCTAATATCATGGAAGCAATACAGCAAAAGAAAAAGATTGTTCGCCATATCGGAATACAAAAACTAAGCAGAAACACACATCTACTTGTGGTGTGAGTCGGTGATGATCTGCTTTGGCCCGTCCCGTACGAGTAGACTGCCTTATCAACCGCCTTGCTGCTTGGCTGCCCATCTGCTTGCCTTGCGTTCTTGCATTGTTGGTGCTTCTCCAGTATTTTGCTGCTTGTGGCATTGCTGCTTTGTTTTGCCACACTGCCTTGCTGCCTTGCTGCACTGCTGCTTTGTTTTGCTGCCTTGCTGCACTGCTGCTTTGTTTTGCGGCCTTGCTAGCTTCTTCTCATTGTGCTGCCCTGCTCCTTGCTTTATTGCGCCCACTGACCTTTCCCATGCCCTCCGGTCTCTGTGCTTCGCTGTTGCTGGCCATCCAGTGGCCCGTTGCCTTGCACTTGGCTTGTTGCATGTGATGTCACCAGTTGGCCGTCCACTTACGACTGCGGTTAAAGGAGATCATGACACAAAACGTCAAAACAGGGATCCTGCAGAACGTAGTGTTCAGCCACCTGATGAGTCGGTACAAGTCAGACAAAACAGTCTCTCACGAATATTGCCTTCGTAAGTTTATCTTCGATTTTTGGTTTTCCATATCCGGGCCCTCTCTTCGGCTGGGTGGTCTCCTTATTATGCTGCCTTGGGCCTACAATTAATGCACCAACTGTAGATGTGTGTTCCATGCCCATGCGACACCGCGCGACTTAACAAAAGCCGCGACTTTAATATCCCAAACATACACAAACACAAAAACATCAAGGTATGAATGCCTTATCTCTGGTCACATTGACCTGCCTTATCTCTGGTCACATTGACCCTCCACATTTGTTGCATTCTCTCTCCCACTACTAATCTAAATTCCCAACATCCTTGGCGTTGAAACAATATAAATTCCTAACGTCCTAGTCACACTTTCGGCGTTAGAATAATCTAAATGCCCAACGTCCTAGTCACACTAAGACAGTAAGGATGCTCCCTATGTTGCCGAGAAAATCCAGCCTGTTTGGGAGAGTGGTAAATAGAAGGCTCCATATTCAAATCCCATCCCCAGTGACTTTTGCCTGAGCAGAGATGAGTTCCAACTTCCAACTACTACTCAAATAGCCACAGAAGTTGACAGAACTTGAATACCTGGAAAGTTGGAAACTGCTGCTGGGTTGAGGGATTCACATTGAACGATTAGTGCATCTTTTTCAGTTTGAGGTCCACATTCAGAAAATGTTTATGAAGGGAGAGAGGAGGAGGGGGAGCAGCACTTACATTCGTCCATGCTTGTTTTTTCCCAATTATTGCTGGAGAAGGTGGAGTTAATACGATCACGAAGCCAGAAAGGTATTTAGATATTTTCTGTTGTGTCCTTCCATTCTGTAGTTATTATAAGAGAATGGGAAGGGAAGGGCAAAGAAGGTCAACAAGGACCATGCATAGGGTGGCGAGCAGGATGATAGATGGCAGGATGAGCAGAGTGGGAGCATTTTATATTTATTCTAAGAGCATCATGGGGAAAGAGGAGCAAAGAAGATCAACAAGGAGCATGCACGGGATGGCGAGCAGGTTCTGTTTGTTTGGGGTTTGCATGCACAGGGGAGCAGAAAGAACTGAAAACAATCACGAAAAAGAGTGCAGGATGAAAAGGCAGAGGGCAGGATGAGGACGGAGGGAAGGTGAGTTCTCTTTATCTCGCATGCGAAGAGAACAAGACAGGAGAAAACAATGAAGTACTAGATGACCTGTTGCGGCTTCGCTCGCAAAAACAAATATGACAGCTGATTCATTCATGGTGGAGGCAGCTGATCGATGCAATCTCTCTCTCTCTCTCTCTCTCTCTCTCTCTCTCTCTCTCTCTCTCTCTCTCTCTCTCTCTCTTTCTGACAGCTGATTCATTCATGGTGGAGGCAGCTGATCGATGCGATCTCTCTCTTTCTCTC